TCCTTCCAGCCGAGAGGCCCCCACGAGTCCCTCCAGGAGTGCCCAGCGATGCAGGTCCGTCCGCGGTCTTGGAACGCTCCTGGGGCGGGCCGAGAGGGCACCCAGGGGGCCCCCAGACTGCCCAGCTGTCACCCGAGAGGTCGGTGGAGGAGGAGGAGGAGGAGGAGGAGGAGGAGGAGGAGGAGGAGGAGGAGGGGGGGGGCGGACGGGGATCGCGCTTCGAGGTTCGAGATCTCCTGATGTGCTCGTGCTCGCCGGCTCCCTCAGCCTCGGGCCGCGACCCAGCGAGTTTTGCGCCTCGCGGGGAGCGCTCTCCGAGGGTGCCCGCGTAGCGTCCCGGACAGCCACCAGAGGCCCGAGACAGGGCCCGGTGGCCAGGGATCGGAGGTGGACAGACCTCCTACCCCGACACGTCGATGAAGGAATTGGCCGTTCTCGGTGCGCGAGAGGGCGTCGCGGCCGTCATTTTTGCGGGTCCAGGTCCGTCGGTTTCGGTCCCAGGCCGTTTTCACTGAGGGGAGGTCTACGAAAGGGAGGTGTGTCCAGCGCCGAAGAGGCCTCCAGGCCGCCCCGAGAGGGCCCAACGACTGCCCCAGAGGGCTCCGGTACGGTTTAAGTCGGGCACGCCGCTCTACGGGAGGAAGCTTCAGAAACGGTACAGGGAATAGTCGGGGGACGATCATTTTTGATTATCCGTGGGCGTTTCAAAACATTGGACTGTCTTTCATTTGTAATCCAAAGTCCTCCTGCACAGTGCCGTTTTTAATACATGCTCCGCGTGCGGATCATGTACTAAACATGCAGGGAGTTAGTGTTACAAACAATGAGGAATTCATGCACAAATTGATACATACATTAGTCATGTATTTAAAATCTTAGGTTGAAACAAAATGTTTGGTTTAAAAACGAATCCTATGTACTAAAAACTGCCCTGTAGGGGGGACACGCCCGACCTAACAGTACGGCCCCAGCGGCCTCCCGGAGGGCTCCGAGGCGCCCCGCCCCCCCCAGCGACCCCAGAGGCTGCCAGGGCGGCCCCAGGGGGGCCCCCGAGACGGCCCCAAGGGTCAGGTCGGGCATGTCCTTCTACAGGAGGAGTATCTTCAGGAGGGAAAGAAACTCACCGACACAATTAATCCTCGATGTCCCTGAAAATGTGGAAAAATAGGGGAAGTGGGGGGGAGACAAAAACCCAGAAAATATACAAAAATATGGGGAATCCTGTTATTTGTGTGTATTGATTTGTGTGTCTCAGGGCCCCTTCATATTTAGAACATAGTCTGGGGACGACTGCTATCTTATTTGTGTGCCGTGCTTCCCCGATCAGAGCTTGCCTCTGCAGGGGCCCCAGCGGATTCCTATGGCACGGTTAGCTGCGCCGCCGATCTTGGCGGACCGCCCGGGTGCCCGGGAGCTGCGTCGGCCATTTCGGCGGCTTTCCCGGGCGCCCCATAGCCCTGTAGCCCTATGGCGCCAAATCCCTGCAGCACTATGGCCCCATAGCCTAAAAGCCCAATAACCCTGCAGCCCCATAGCCCTGTCATCTAGCCCTCTGGCCCTCTGGCCCTCTAGCCCTCTAGCCCTCTAGCCGTAGATACCCCAATAACCTTATAGCCCTATAGCCCTGTTTCCCTATGGCCCATAGCCCTATAGCCCAACAGCCCAATTGCCCTATAGCCCTCTAGCCCCCCTAGCCCTGTAGCCCCGTAGCCCCGTAGCACCATAGCCCTGTAGCCCCATAGCCCCAAACAACGATTCTGATTGAGGCTTCTCTCCGGTAGCGGTGAGCACGTTGTAAATATGTTTCATTGTTCCATCACACTCCCCTCAAAGGGGGACGCGCCCGACCTTACGTCCAGACGAGGGCCCCGAACGGACATTTCGAGCCCTCGGCCCCGAAAGGTTCCAAGGGAAGCCCCAAGAGGCTCCCAAGGTGACCCGAGAGGCCTCCAGGAGGCCCCCACGAGATCTCCAAGACGCCCCCAAGAGAAGCAACATCCATTGTCGTGTTCAGGCCTTCCGATGTTCCAAGGCGGCCCAAGAGGCCTCCAAGATCGCCCCAGCCTTGCCTAAGAGCCCCCAAGAGAGCTCCGAGACAACCCAAAAGTCCCCGAAGAGAGCCCGAATGGCCTACCGGGCTGCCCCAGAGTCCACCAAGACTTGCGATTCCAGGGGCCTCCAGGACGCCCCGATAGACCTCCACGAGCGCTCCCAAGACCACCCCCAAGATCCAAAATTCATGGATCCGCTTTCTTGCTTTGAATGATATTCGAGCTCTCCAAGAGAGCCCCAGAGGGCTCCAAGACTGCCCCAACAGGTCCCGAGGCGCCTCCAAGAGAGCCCCAATAGAGGTCGCAACGCCTCCAGGGACTCCCGAGGCATCCAGGGAAGGCCCTTTGCTATACACGCATACATGCACGCATATACACGCCTATGCAGATGTACTCCGGATTCCATCATAATGTCACGTTTTGGGGGTTGGGGTCTGATTTGAGCTGTCTTGGAGGGTTCGATAGGGGCCTGGGCACAGGGCCGCCCTTTCATGGATGGTCTGGGGGGGGTCTAAAACTACTCGTCCGTCTGGGAGGGTTGTGACCCCCCCCCCTGTCTTACGAAATCTGGAGTGTGTACACATACGCGTGTTAGTTCACACATGACGGGGGACCGGGCCCGGGGCCCGGCCCCCGGGCCAGGACCGCTACCACCAATGTGTGTGTGTATGTGTGCGTGCGTGCGTGCGTGCGTGCGTGCGTGCGTGCGTGCGTGCGTGCGTGCGTGCGTGCGTGCGTGCGTGCGTGCGTGCGTGCGTGCGTGCGTGCGTGCGTGCGTACGTGCGTGCGTGCGTGCGTGTGTGTGTGTGTGTGTGTGTGTGTGTGTGTGTGTGTGTGTGTGTGTGTGTGTGTGTGTGTGTGTGTGTGTGTGTGTGTCGGGCGCTGGGCGCGCCTTCTGGGGGCCCGACCTCGCCTCCGGGAGGGGCCGGGCAGCCGCCCAGGCGGCCCAGGCTGGGCGCGTTCCGCTTCCTCCGAGTCCGAGTCGATGCGGCTTGGGATTTCCCATTCGGGTTCCTAGCTCTGGCTGGAGGCGTACTGGGCTGCCGAGGTCCGCCGATGCGACTTTTCCGGGCTTGGCTGCCGATCTCCGCCGATCCGATGCATGTCGATCGCCGATCCGACTTGTCGATTCGATTCTGGACTCTCCTGCCTGGGACTGCTTCGAGTCACCCTCGAGACGACCTCGAGGGGTCTTAGACAGCTCACGACGCGTTCCAAACGGCCCAAGAGGCCTCCAAGGCGCCTCCAGGGCGGTCCCAGAGGACCCCCAACAGCGCCCCGAGAAGCACAAATCGTCTCACTCCCTTTGGAAAACCGTGCATGTTTAGCCTATTTTATGTTTGGCTTCAATGCTGCAAACAACCCACCAGGATTCCCAAATCGGCCTACATATGGCCGACGACGAGTCTCCCCAGAAGGCCCAGGACGGCCCCAAGACGTTTCCACGAGGGCCCCAAGATGGCTTCAAGAGGGGTCCCAGACGGCCCCAAGATGGGTCCACGAGCGGGGACGCCATCCGAAAATCCTAGCCTTCCTGCCCAAGGGATCCAGGAGGCAGCATGAGGTCTGCTAGAGGCCCTCAGGAGCCCCCAGATGGCCCCCAACGAGCCCAAAACATGTAGGCTTCAAAACGGCCCCCGAACGGGCCTGGGGGGGGGGGGGGACGGGGCTGGGACGCCGACCGCACATGTGTGTGTGTGTGTGTGTGTGCCGGGGGCCGGGGCCCACCTTGGGGACGCAACAGCGCCCCGGAGAGCCATCGAACAGCCGTCCAGGCGGCCCAAGAAGACGGCCCAGAGCCACCCCCCCGGCGGCCCACAGAGCCACCCCCCAGGCGGCCTCCAGGCATCTCGGACGGTCCAAGCGAGCCTCAAGTCGTCGGCAGAGGCGCAGACGGCCCCCGAGGGCCCCAGGAGAACCTCCAGAACGCTTCCTACAACGCCAAGACACTTGAACATTTCCAGGGGAAGTGTACGATTTGTGCCTTCTCTCCAGACACTCATTGCCATTACGTTTGACTGTTCAGCGACGGGGGGGTTTTCAGCAGGTCACTCGGTACGCCACTCGCGCATGGGCGCGTGAGGCTGCCGGGCCGACTTGCAGGTGACCTCCGCCTGCAGACGGCTCCGACCTGTGCTGACCAACAAGGGTTTTGCTCTCAGACTGGTCAAAATGGAATGGCTGAAGAGATTCGCAGGCGCCTGTTGTCAGCGCAGCGATTTCAGCTCATTTCAATCTCAGGAGCTGGTCGCTCGTGTCCTCCCTCCGTCCTGGTTTCCAGACTCTCCTTGCCACTACTTTGGATGTTTTGCGACGGGAAGTCTTCGGCTGATCACTCGGTGCCGCTTGCGCACGGGCGCGTCAGGCTGCTGGGCCTACTTCCAGGTGACCTCCGCCTGCAGACGGCATCGCCTCTGCTGACCAACATAGCAATTCTTCAGGGCCGCAGAGCCGCAGAGACCAAACATTTCCGCGCCAAACAGAGCCCCAAGACTATAACAGGCATTCGACAAGCTTGTTCCAAAGGCCCTCGAGCGGGCCCAAGGACCATGGTGGCGGAACTTGCCGTAAGCAGCAGCGAGGGCAGGATGTCTTCGGAGTCCGCAGGCACGGCGGGAGGGATGGTGGATCGAAGGGACGGAGAGAAAGGGAAGGCACGGGAGGGAGTAGAATTGGTGGAGAGGGAATGAATGGGTTTGTGGGCCAGAGAATGCAGGATAAGCGGCGATTGAGACTCAGCGTGTTGCATACATAGGGGCAAGCAGGGGAAACAATGTTCGCTTAGTGTTCGGACGCTGTGTTGTTCATGGCGCGCGTCTGGTCCGCATTCATCTCTCCGATCTAGCCATAACTTGCTAGAAGCGAAGCGCGCGTGGTTCTCGTGTGCAAATTGTATAGATGTACACATGTATACACACGTTCATACCTACCCACCTACCAACCGACCTACGTACCTACTCACGTCTATCTGCCTAGCGACCTGCCTACATATCTACATACCTACATACATACACATACTTATATGGGGAGGGGGTCCCAGCGGCCCTGGGGAGCACTGATTTTGTACCCGGTCTTTTGGGACCGGTAGCTGAGCGCCCAAACGCTTCAAAGGAGGGGAAGAGGGGCCATGAGAGGGCCCAAGAGACGTCCAAGAGGGCTCCAAGAGAGCCCAAAAGTGCTCCAAGAGAGCCCACGACCGCCCAAGAGCATTCCAAGATGGTCCAACATGGCTTCAAGACAGCCCAAGAGAGCCTCAAGACAGCTAAGAGGCCCTCAACGGAGACCCACGAGGCCCTGGGAGAGGTACGATTCAATGTTTCAAAGGTTTTGTAAGTAAGGTTTCCCGTGTTCTGGCTGTGCTTCCGATGGGTCAAGCAGAGGCCGGAGAAATGGGCCTAAGGCGGCCCAAGCGGCTCCTAAAGAGGGCCCCAGGATGGCCCAAGAGAGTCCCAAGGAGGCCTGAGGGCGCTCCAAGGCGGCCCCAAAGAGGCGTTCCAAACGGCTTCAAGAGAGGTCCAAGAGGGCCCCAACAAAGCCCCGAGACAGTCAACGCCCTCCACGACGCCCCAGAATGGTCCCAGGACGGACCGCAAGGGCGTGAAGTTGCACAGAGAGGCCCCAGGAGGACACTCAAGGCGGCCCAGAGGCGCTAAATGCATGGATGTTGGGGTCTCAGGGTTGGGCTTCTTGTGGAAGGTTTCTGGTGGTCGAGCCCCTACCGTAACCCAGGCCCCTGGCCTAGGGCCTGGGTATCATGACGGGGGCCATGATATCCCCCCAGATTTCTTTGCGCCTCTTCTTATTTCAATACGTTCCTGACCCCCCCCCCCCTTGGCCGCGCACACGCTACCGGCCATGATCTGCGCCCCCCCCCCCCCCCCCTGGACGCCCCCCTCTTGGCCGCCCCCGAAAGTGACCCCTCCCCCCCCTCCCATAGAGCGCCCCCCCCCTTGGACGCCCCCCCCCCCCTTCCCCGAAAAGGGAGGGAGGAGGAGGAGGGAGGAGAGGAGGAGGAGGAGGAGGGAGGAGGAGGAGGGAGGAGGAGGGGAGGAGGGAGGAGGAGGAGGAGGAGGAGGAGGAGGAGGAGGAGAGGAGGAGGAGGAGCTCTTGGACGCCCCCCCCTTGCGCCCAGTATCCCCCTGGAGCCCCGCCCGGCGGGGGCCCTCCCGGCCTCGCGGGGGCCTGCCATTGCGGGCGCGCCGAGGTCGTCTGGGGCCTCCGCGCGGCGTGGCGCACGCCGATCGTGGGGACGCTGGCGGAGGAGGAGCCGCAGGGGGGGCCCGCGGCCGCCGGCCTCCTCCTCCCGAGGAGGGGGGGGGTCGAGGAGGAGGAAGGAGGAGGAGGAGGAGGAGGAGGAGGAGGAGGAGGAGGAGGAGGAGGAGGAGGAGGAGGGAGGAGGAGGAGGAGGAGGGGGAGGAGGAGGAGGAGGAGGAGGAGGAGGAGGGGAGGGGAGGAGGAGGGGAGGAGGGTCGAGGAGGGGGGGAGGAGGGAGGAGGAGGAGGAGGAGGAGGAGGAGGAGGAGGAGGAGGAGGAGGAGGAGGAGGAGGAGGAGGAGGAGGAGGAGCATGAGAAGCAAGGTTGTAGGAAGGAGGCGACGAAAACTGATCATGTTCAGAATCATATGCATAATCTAAGCAGAAGGCTATACGAATAATGATTGTGCCAATCGTATTCATAGTGCTAAGACGATCAAGACGAAAAACCAAAATCATACTAAGGAGGAGGAGGAGGAGCAAAGAAGCGGGAGAGGAGGAGGAGGAGGAGGAGGGAGGAGGGAGGAGGAGGAGGAGGCGGAGGCGGAGGCGGAGGCGGAGGCGGAGGCGGAGGAGGAGGAGGAGGAGGAGGAGGAGGAGCATGGGAAGCAAGTTTGTATGAATAAGGCTACGAAGACTGGATCATGTTCATAATCATATGCATCATCTAAGCATAAGACTATACGAATCATGAATGTGCCAATTGAATTCATAGTGCTAATACGATGAAGAAGAAGGTGGAGGAGGAGGAGGAGGAGGAGGAGGAGGAGGAGGAGGAGGAGGAGGAGAGGAGGAGGGCCATCGGATGCGGGCCCCCTTCTCCCGAGGATCGAGGTTTCTGCGGCCTCCCGTCAGAGGGGCAGGAGGTGCCGGTGCCGCCGCGCGTGCCTCGTCGCCGCGGCCGGATCCGCCGCCAGAGGGCCTGGCCGCAACAGAGCGCGGCACGGGAGAGGGGGAGCCTCCTCCTCCTCCTCCTCACGCCATCCTCCTCCTCCTCTCCTCCTCCTCCTCCCCTTCCTCCTCCTCCTCCTCCTCCTCCTCCTCCTCCTCCTCCTCCTCCTCCTCCTCCTCCTCCTCTTCCTCTTCCTCCTCCTCCTTCTCCTCCTCCTCCGGCGTGTTTGCAGCATATGGGGACTTGTGGGGGCGCTGTTCAGTTTTCTGCGGACCTCCAGGGGCTCCTTGGGATCGCAGATGCCACGGGCGCGGAGGTGTCCCGACGCCGGCCTTGCTCATACTCCACCTTCGCCCCCTCGTACTCCTCCTCCTCCTCCTCCTCCTCCTCCTCCTCCTCCCTCCTCCTCCTCCCTCCTCCTCCTCCTTCTCCTCCTCCTCCTCCTCCTCCTCCTCCTCCTCCTCCCTCTCCTCCTCCTCCTCCTCCTCCTGTCTCGCCTGTTCATATTTCGTCTTGGGTGGTAGGACGGTTTCTGGCTTGTGAGTGGATGAGTGGTGCATCGGGCGGCCTGATGGGTGTGTAACCTGATGGGCGGCCAGATCAGAACGAACCGAGCAGCAACAACCATGGCAGCCGTCTTGCGAAGCTGCGATCCCACAGGCAGTTTCGATCTTCATTTGTTTCTGCTTCTCCCTTGTAGCCGCCCGCTAAGTCTACACCCTAGTTCGGCCAGAGTCTCGATTATTCTTATGGTTCAATGTAAATCTTTAGATTTCAATAGAAATTCTGGGTTTGTATTCAAATTCTGAGACTCTGAGTTTCTTAACCCATGATCTCTTAAGCATTTCGCAGGGTGTATGAACCAACCTCCTCTTGGGGGGGCCTCTTTTCATGCCAGCTCCCGGGAGAGGCATTCAGCAGCAGGCTCCGTATGCGCTCCCGCGCCGCCTTGGCCGTGATGCAAGGCGACGCGTCCGCGGGCAAGCCATGGGCTTCTGCAGAACTGACAGGATGTGTCTGGAGGGAGCGCCGTTCCTCAGATTCGGGGCCGCTGTGGCCAAGGCGTCTCGGGGTGGGCTGCGACGAAGTGTCGAGGGGAGGAAGTCGTGAGGGTCCTGTCGAGCGGGAGCCGTTGTCGGCGAAGGGTGGGCCGTTCCGAGCTGGATTGAGCTGCGAGGGAGTCTCCGGCGAGAGCGGCGTTCCTCCGTTTGGGAGCCTCTCTGTCCAGAGCGTCTCTTAGTAGGCTGCACGGACGTGTCGAGCGGGAGCAGTTGTCGTCGCAGTCGGGCCGTTATCATTTTGATTGAGTCACGTGGCAATCTCTCTCTCTCTCTCTCTCTCGAGAGAGAGAGAGAGAGAGATTGCCGTTCTTGAGGCTTTGTTGGCCTCTCTGGCCAGGGCGTCTTCGAGTAAAGTGTAAAGAAGAATCGAGCAGTCGTCGCAGAAGGGCCTTCACCAATTGGAGGGACTTTCGAAGAAGTCTCGTGCGAGAGCGCCGTTCCTGAGTTCGGAAGCCTCTCAGGCCAGGGCATCTCGGGGTACACTACGAGGAGGTCTCGAGCAGGAGCCGTTGTCGTTCTTCGCAGCCCAGCCTTCGCAAGCTTGAGTGGCCTGCGAGGAAGTCTCGAGCGAGAGCGCCATTCCCGAGCTTGTGGGCCTCCCCAGCTAGGGCGTCCTGCGGCAAGTCGGGGGGAACTACGGAGCGGCAGCCGCTCTCGTCGTAGCTTGGCTGTCAGGGGGCCGCAGTTGGAACCAAGCGCGCGCTCGAGCGGGAGCCTCGGTTTCAGAGAAAAGGAAAACGGGGTCGAGGCGAGAATGCCCCGAGCCGTATGCATAGATCAGCAATTCGTTTCAGCTCCTACTGTGTTGGGTTCTCGTTTCGAACGGAGCACTGTGGTCTCCATTCCTCCTTCCCGCCTCCTCCTCCTCCTGCCCCATGCTTCCTCCTCCCTTCTCCTCCTGCCTCCTCGCCTTCCCCGCTCGTGCCTTTTCTACTGGGGGGGGCTGTGGGCTGCGCAATTGTGGCCCTTTTTCTCGTGGGCTCCTCTGCGAGGCACGGCGGAGGTGTGAGTAGGGGAACAACAAGTGGCACAAACATAAAAACTCGGAGGTCCGCGCATACTTCTCGGATCGGCGCTGGGGCCCCCCAGCGGCGGCTCCGGCGCCGCCCCTGGCGCGCTCCGCGCGCCAGGGAGGGGGGTCCAGCGCCGATCCGAGAAATCCGCGCGGACCTCCGAGTTTTTATGTTTGTGCCACTTGTTGTTCCCCTAGCGAGGGCAGCGCAGGGCACTCCGGCGGCTTCCCCCTCGGGGGGGGCTGCGAGCCGCGCGCCACGGGAGGCGAGGGCGGCGCAGAGCCTTCCAGACGTCGTGGCTCCCTCGAGGGGCTGCGAACTGACCAGCCTGGAACATCTCCGTATCCCTACACCTTGGGCGATGCTTAAGAAAACTCAAGTTTTCGGCCAGAGTCTCGATGTTTCTTAACGTTTCAATGTGAATCCTAAGATTTCAATGGGAATGTTGGGTTTTTTATCCAAGTTCTGAGACTATGAATTTCTTAACCCATGATTTCTTAAGCATTTCGCAGGGTGGCTGGGCACCTCCTCATCACGATGCCAATCTTAGGGGTTCCCTTATTTTTGAGTGCGACTCCCTAAGATTTTCATCGCCTCTTGGCGTGCCAATCTTGGGGATAGGGATACGCTGGAGGCTGGTAACGAACTTGCGCTCCTGTCGCCACCTGTCGTGGACTTCTCTGGGAGGCGCGCCTCGGAGGCGAGGGCAGCCCAGCTCCCCCGGAGAACTCACGGCCTCCTCGGGGCCTGCGAGCTGCGCAATTCAGGAGGGAAGAACACACACACACAGACAGACACAATTCATCGTCGATTCCCCCGAAGATATGGGAAACTATGGGAAGTGGGGAGGGAAGACAAACGCCCAGAAAATATGGGAAACTATGAGGAACATGTTTATGTGTGTCTTTATTTGTGTGTCCCAGGGCCCCTTCAGCAATTCACAGCTGTTGCGTGGGCTCCTTGGCGGCAGGTCGGAGGTGAGGGCAGCGCAGCTCACCTCGTGACCTCGCGAGTCCCACGGGGGCTGCGGGAGTTGCGCAAGCGTCGTCCGAGGCCTCGCGGCTCCTGCGGGAGTTGCGAATTGCCCACCGGTCGCAACTTTCCTTGGCTTTTGGGAGTCACGGCGGCGGTGAGGGCAGCGCAGATCACGTCGAGGCCTCGCAAGTGCTTCGGGAGCTGCGCATTGTGCACTTGTCGCCACCTGCGAATTGTGCACTCGTCGCCACTTCTCGTGGGCTGCTGGGAGGCGCGGCGGAGGCGAGGGCAGCGCAGATTTTGTTTGAGGCCTCGCGACTCCTTCGGGGGCTGAGAACTGCACATCGGACGCCATTGTCGTAGGTTCCTGGGAGACACGGGGGAGGCGAGGCAGCGCAGATCTTTTCGAAACGACGCGGTTCCTCCGGGGGTTGCGAATTGCACAAATGTTGCCATTTTCGTATCCTCTTGGGGGACACGGTGGAGGCGAGGGCATCGCAGATCACTTCGAGACCTCGCGGGTCCCTCAGGCGCTGCGAACTGCTCGCTTGTCGCCATGTTCGCGGGTTCTTGGGTGGCACGGCGGAGGCGAGGGCATCGCAGATCACTTCGAGGGCTCGCGGCGCTCTCGGGGGCTGCGCAAGTGTCGCCTTTCTCGAGGTCTCGTGCATCATATCCCGCGATGCGCTCTTGGGCATAGAGCGTTCAGACAAATAGTTGCCTCGTATGGAAAAGAGTTTGTTTACGTCACGGGCCATTCTTCATTTGAAATGGGCACTCCATCTCAATTTAGTTTTTCATGGCACGCCCGCGGTTCACTTTACATACCCAAATTCAGCCGATATGCCCCGCCCCCTTGTTTGTCAACGTGCAGCGTGACCACTTTGGAGGGTCGTTGCGTAATCCAGCTCCTGGGTGAACGACAGCGTGGTCAATCGCATCAGACGAGCGCTCCCTAACTGGAGGGTCGGGCGGGCGGACGCCGACGGGCGGGGCGGGTCGGGCGGGCGCGACATTCCAGCGGATGGTTATCCTGGGTTGGGCGGGCGCTTAGTGGGCCCTGGAAATGACAGGGCCGTTTTTTTACTGGTTCCGTTTTGCCGTTTTTTGCAAGTTCCGACGCCGTTTTTTACCGGTTCCGTCGCCGTTTTTTCGCCGTTTTTTGACCGGTTCCGGTTCCAGTTCCGATCCTGGAGCCGTTTTTTTGCCGTTTCCGGTCGCCGTTTTTTTGCCGTTTCCATTTTCAATGGGCATTTTTTGGGGAAACGGTGAAAAAACGGCCCTGCCGTTTCTGGGGCCCACAAAAGGGCGGGCACACCTTGACGCACGGGCCGGGCAGGCGGGGACGGGCGGACCTCGGGCAAAGCATTCCAGGGCGAATAGTTTCGTGTGTCTGTCAGGCCGCGATGCGTAAGTTCCACAAGCTGTGCTTTTCTCTTCTGAGGAATTGGCCCTGACGGCCAACGCATCACCAAAGTGTAATCAACATATCACCCAAGACGGCTTCGCAAACATCGCCGGAAGCCGCGCACGATTATATCCCTGGCGCGTTTGCACAACGTGGAAGGATGTCCCGAACCAAAACGACGCCGTCACCGTCGCGCGAAATTGTGTCACCGCCGCGAGCGATTTCACACCGCGCGAATTCAACTGCGAGCCCTCGCGGCGAAGTTGCGCGCTTCCCGTGGCCAGGCGGGGGGGGAAATGAGAGGGAGGGAGGAGGGGGAGGAGGAGGAGGAGGAGGAGGAGGAGGAGGAGGAGGAGGAGGAGGGGGAGGAGGAGGAGGAGGAGGAGGAGGAGGAGGAGCTGGAGGAGCTGGAGGAGGAGCTGGGGGCACCTCGGGCCAGGGGTGCTTCTGGCCACACCCGATCGGCCTGCGCGGGCCGTGGCTGCTGCTCCGTCCGACCGGGGCAGGCCCTGTCCAACCCCCGGCGACGGCCCCGCTTGCCTTGGCATCGCTCGGACGTGTGCATTTTTCCCTCGGCGATGACCATCATCCTCGATCCTCTGGCGAAAAAGCAGAAACAAAAACACAGGGAATGGACGTCCGAGCGATGGCCAGTTGCCGTCCGACGGTGGGGGACGCACCCCGGGCGGCGGTCGCCCGGGGTGCGCCCCCACCGTCGCCGAGGGTCGGGCCGGACGAAAGGAGCAGGAGGAAGAGGAGGAGGAGGAGGAGGAGGGGAAGGAGGATAATCAAGTTTGTGTGAAGAAGGCGGACGAAGACGAATACGAATCATGAGTAGACTGATCAGATTCATAATGCTCATACTATCGAGGAGAAGAAAAAGGAGGAGGAGGAGGAGGATCGGGCCGGGCGAAAGGGGGGGATTGGGAAAGGGGGGGGGTACGAAATCTGCTGCATGCAGCTGGTTTCGGCCCCACCGAGGGGCCCATTCCTCGATACATGGCCGCCTCCGGCGCCGGGAGGCGCCGGGACAATCAGCTACGTGAGCTGATTCTCACCCCCCCCCTTTGCTATCCCCTCCTTGCGTCCGACCCGAGACGGGCGCGCGAGCGACGAGAGCGTGGTTGAGGCCCGCGGCGGACGTCTGGGCCGCGGGTCTTCCGCGGAGTGCCCTGCTGCCGCGCCGAGGCGGCAGGCGCCTAAGGCCAGCAAAGAGCGTCAAAAGGGGCCCCAGGAGGGGCCCGAGATGCCCCCGAGGGCCCCTTATACGAGGCAAGAGGCTCCCCAAGAGGGCCCGAGCTGCACCAAGAGAGCCCCAGAGAGGCCTCGGAGATCCCGACCGTGCCAGCTGGCCTTCACAGGAAGACCACAGGAGGCGCCATGAGTCCTCCACGGACCCCCCAACAGGCTCTCGAAGAGGCCTCTGGAGGCCCCAGCAATGCTTCGTACAGACTCCCGAACAGGCTTTCAGGGTGACTCCAGAAAGTATCTCAGATAGTTGCTCCCGAGCCTCTGAAAGTTCTCGGGCAGTCTGCCGCGCGAGGTGTCTCTTCTCAGTAGCCTCATCATCCGTGCATCTCTTGCTTCCTCGCCTTCCCTCCGCCATTGGTCTTCCCAAGCCCTTCTCCGCCAGCAGCTATCGTCTTTCGTTCTCCCTCCCTCTCTGGCTTCCTGCTCCCTGCCCCCAGTCTGGCCGTTTCCACCTCCCCTTCACCGTGCCCCCTCCCTCTTCACTTATGCTCGACCATCCTCGGCCTCCTTCCTCTGCAGATCCAGGGAAGGTGTGGAGTCAGCGGGAGCCGAGGGGGGTTGCCGTTGAGACATGTCCGAAACCCGCGGTACGCTTCTATTCGGGCACGGGCTTTCTTCCACGCACACGCTGGGCTCCAGGCCACGTAGATTTTTGGCTCGCGCGGTGGTTCTAGTTTAACTTGTTTGTGGGCCTGGCAAACACTCCTTGCTCATGACCTGGAGTGGCTTTCCCGAACTCGGTCCACCTGGACCTTGCCATGGTCGCCGCGAGCGGGAGTGGTTCGCACTCCGCTTCGCGTGATTGGGAGCGACGTCTCCCAGGTGTAGTTCGGTTTGCATTCACGAGTCCCACCCGCCCCCTCCGTTCCTCCCTTCTCTGGTCCCTCCTTCACGGCCACGCCCTCCCATTCTGCTTCTTTTTTCCTCTGTCCGCCCTTCTTCCTGCGTCTCTCCCTCCTCTTCTCCGCCCAGTGCCAGCCCGTTAGGAGATCTGGAGCTTCGACCCTACGTTCGACGCCAGGAGACGCTTTTTATTGTTTATGCTTCCGATAGCATGATGTGATTCGGAGGCCGACTCTGAAACACTGGATCAACAGGATAACAGGTGGAAGAAGTTGAGGTCGTCTTCTAGTTGCAACGGTTCCCATCCTCATCGTCATTATCTTTACCTCCCTCTTCGTCAGAGTACACCCCGCTTGAGTCTGGTATCGCTGAGCCAGGACGAACTCGAGTCCAGCAGGCGGATGCGACCCACCTCGCCTCTGTGCCCTGGAGGTCAGTGGGGTCGTATTGGGGTCGTCTCTAAGGAGGCTCTTGGGTGGTCTTGGGGTCGTCTTTGGCAGGAACGGCTCTGGGCACCTAGCCCCGCGCACCTTCCGGGACGCCAGCTATATGCGAGTCCTGAGGATCGGTCAACAGTTTGTGGGCACCGTGGAGGCTCAAACGCGCCGCACGTCGAGGTGTGGCTCGGGAAGGCTTGCCCATCGTGACGGCATCTTCGCAGAGTGCGGTTGCGTTCGGATCGTGTTCGAGGGGTTTCTTTGTGGCTTACCGGGAGGTTTGGGTGGGCTTCTGGGGGGTTTTTAATTTGTGCCCGTAGCAGTATCTTCGCAGAGGGGTCGGAATGAAAACGATTTTTTGGGATCCTGCGATCACAGGGGCGTTCTAGATGGGAACAGAGGGGGATATTCCGATAGGGTGAGATCAACCGACATGGGTTGCGAAAGCGTCGTTGAATCATCAATGTATTTCCCAGGCTGGGATCGAGGTTCGTGGTGGTCGTCCTGGCGTTGCAGGCTGAGAGTCGCGTCGGTATTGTGCGTGTGTGTGTGTGTGTGTGTGTGTGTGTTTCCTCTGCTTCTCTCCGCCATCCACGCCTGGATGGCGTGTGGCGCTGCTTCGCTCTGAATCCGACGCGTGCGGGACCCCGGCCGTTGCACTCACATGTCTTCGCCTCGACGGTGCGCGCAAGGCCGCGACCGCCAAAAAGCGTTAGTGTGTGCGCACCAGGTGAATTCAGCATTTTGTTGCTGGCAGTCCTCGGGCTCCAGTACTGGCTCTCCTTGATCTTCACCGTCGCTACGCCCTGGCATCGCCCGCGGGTGCGCCCTGGCCCTGGCCCCGGCTGCTGCCGCGGTCCCCGCTGCCCTGGCTGGCCGCTCCGGCTGGCTCACCGCGGAACTCTTCCACGTCTGAGCGCCCTCCCCCTCCACCCTGCGCGCGGCCGCCCTCGCCTTCGCCTCTCTCTCTCTCTCTTTCTCTTTCTCTTGTCTTGCACGCCGGACATTTTGCCTACGGGTTGCTTGGATTAGCCCCACGCTGGTGCGGATTGTTTTCGCTCCGCCGCCGACGGAAGAGTGTGTGTGTGTGTGTGCGCTCGACAGGGAGTAGGAGCGCGCGTCCCGCCGCGCCGATTCGACGTGCTCCGCCCAGTCGCCGCTCGCCGGGCTGCGCCGCCAAAAGTGTGTGTGTGTGTGTGTGTGTGTTGGTTCGTTTCCTTCGTCTTCGTTCTTCTCCCAGTCTGCCAGCTCCAGGGGGGACGATACTGATGAGGAGCTGGAGGAGGAGGATGAAGAGGAGGAGGAGGAAGCCCGACACTCTCAGGGAAGGGGGGTGCAATGACGAGAAGGCAAAGGCAGGCGGAAAAGGATACTGATGGCATGGAGAGTAGGAGTGACAGCAGAAGGCGTGAAGTCGAAAACGGGTGTTGGGAAGGCGGTGCGTTGTTGGTCCGATTCGGAAACTGCCATTGGGAACTTCTCCGGGCGTCTTGAGGACATTTTCGAAGCATCGTGGCTTGCGGTATTCGAGGGGCGACGGAGTATTTTGGAGGGACAGGCTTCCAACTCGAGCTCGCTCACATCTTTTGGCCCACTGCTTGGTTCTTGCTTGAGGCCGCTTTAGCCGTCTTGTGTGTGTTGGGGGACCTCTTGGACCATTTTGGAGACCTCCCTTGGGGGGACGTTTCTTGGTTGTTTGGTGGAGATATCGAGATAATGTTGAGCCGTTTTGGCTTGCTTGATGCCCGACAAGGCATGCGTGCGCAAATCGCTGCTAGTACATCGACGTGATGACAATCTATGGTGTTTGCTTGTTCGGTAATCTTCCGTGTCGTTTCAGGACCTTGTTGTCGCGCCATGGGGGCCTTGGGCTGTCTCGTGCCGGTGTAGGGTTGTATGGGAACACGCTTGGGCAGTTGCCAGGCCAGGTTGCATGTGTCGAATGGTCTTCGGATCATGTCGCAGGCCTCTAGGATGTTCGCTGGGATGTCGACTGGGGGGCCGTTTGGGGGTCTCTTGGGGCGTCTTGGGGGCGTCCTGTCGGTCTCTTGGGGCCTCTTGGGGGCCTCGTCGGCCGGACGACTTGGATTTTCTGTTCGTGTCCCTCCTCTTGAGCCTTTCTTGGAGCTGGCATTGAGCCCTCTTGGGCCGTCTTGGGCACCGTTTTGGGGCCTTCTTGAAGGCTTCTTCGGGCCGTCTGGGGGCCATCTTAGGGGCCACTTGGGCTGTTTTGGGTGGTCTTGGGGGATTTGTTGTCCCGTTTGAGAGCGTCGGAAGCTCGACAAGTCGAGGACCCAAAAAACACATTGAAAAAATAACTGGATCTTCAATGATTTTGGCCTCTCGCGGCCCTCTTCGGAAGGATCTTTGGGCGCCTCGAAGCCTCCTGGGGCCGTCGTGGGGTCATTTAGAGATCTTGGACCGATCGTGCGGCGATTCGGGGCCCTCTTGGACCGTCTGGGCGGCCTCTTGGGGCCCTGTTAGTCCGTCTTTCTTGGCCCGAACAAGTTATGCAACAAGACGCGACGCTCCCCAGATGTCACGCTGGGAGCCCCAAGAGATTTGCAAATTTTGGGCACGGGATCCTTGCAGGATCTTCAGGTTTGAGGAATGAGGCGTAGAAGAATTGAGGACTGAGAATTGAGGATCCTTGTCCTAATCCCTGAGGTTCCTGAGGATCCTCAGGGATGAAGCCAAGAATCCGAGGGCACTCTAACTCATGCCTGAGCGCATGGGGGCGGATGTGTTCGCCCTTCTCGGCGTTCAGAGTCCAACGGCCGACGCGTTTACAAGCTCGCCTCCCCCCGGCCCCCTCTGACGGAATTTTGGACGCCCCGGGAGAGGGAATCAGGGGATGGTGGGCATCCAAACGTCCCACACGCCTTCTCCAACCGGGCACGCGGGGCCTGCGGATTCCACGGTGCGTGTGTCAAGATATTGTGTTCCCTTGATTTGCGCCTTGAGTGCCATTACAGTGAGGTGAAGTTTAGCATCGATGCTTGTGTACCCGTGCGGAAAATGCAGGCCGAATCCCGCATGGTCCCGCTCAATTTGGCCTAATCCCGTTTCATATGGCCGAATGTGGCTTACTCTTGGGCTGAATGTGGGCCAATGGCTGATCCGTAGTAGTAGTAGCTCCAAGATCGGGCTCAATCGTCTTGGGGCAAACATCCCAGGAGTTGCTTCCTAACCTTTCCCTCCCGCTCGAGAGAGAGAGAGAGAGAACACACGCATCGCAGTGACCCCTGGGCGCAGCGGACGCTGCACTCCATGTGCGAGCAGGCGAACTTCCCGAGCGAGCTGGCCATCCTGCCAGGCGGTCTCCTCGGCGGCGGCCGGCCGGAGGTTCTGCGAGTGAGGAGCAGGGGCAACGCTTGGAGGGATAATTAGGCTCGGGGGGGGACGACGCATCGACCCCCGATCGCCCATTCGTCGCCGCCAGGGGGCCTGATTGCCCACCCCGCTCAGGACCATGCGGATTCGCTATGGGGTGCCTTTTGCTGATCTATCGGCGATTTGCCGCCGATGCCAGGTCGGTGCCCCCTGAGCTGGTCTCCCGGTAACGTCCTCCCTGAAGGAAGGAGCAGGCAAGGGGGTCGAGGAAGGGGATCAGGAAGGGAAGAAACACACAGACACAATTCATCGTCGAGCCCCCGAACAATACGGGAAGTATGGTAGGTGGGGGGAAGACGAAACGCCAGAAACTATGATGAAATGTAGGGAATGCTGGGATTTGTGTCTATTCATTTGTGTGTCCTAGGGCTCCATTAAGAGGATCGAGGAAACACAAGCATTGATCAGGGGGCGCGTGGTCTGGCGACCCTACAGGGCCGGCGCTCTCCGTCGACAGATCAGGCGGCGTTGGCGCCCGCGCGCCAGATCCGCGATCCCGTCCGAGTCGGCACACCCTCCGCTCAAAGAACAAACAACGCCGTACAGATAAACTTGTGGCGCTCCGCGTGGATTTCCGGGATCCGCGCCGGGCCCCCCCCCCGGCGGCGCCTCCAGCGCCGCCAGGGGCGCGCTCCGCGCGCCAGGGAGGGGGGTTCGGCGCAGATCCAAGAGATCCGCACGGTAAAAACAGTTTATGTTTATGTTGTGTTTTCTTTGCCCCAGCCCTCCTTGGCTGGGTATTCGCGTTGAATAGAGCACTGCGGTCGCGTCCTTCTTCTCCCGCCTCCCGTCTCGCGCTTCCCTCTCGTCTGTTTCTGCTTTGTGCGGACCTCACCACCCCTTGGGGGGCTGCGATCTGCGGCGCTGTCGCCACTTTCGAGGGCTGCTGGTGGGTCCTGCGGAGCGAGGCACCGCGGGGACCTGAGCGAGACCGCGCCGTCCCTGGGGGGCTGCGATCTGCGGCAGTGGCACTGTCGCCACTTTCGAGGGTTGCTGTTGGGTTCGGCGGAGTGAGGCACCGCGGGGACCTGAGCGAGACCTCGCAGTCCCTGGGGGGCTGCGATCTGCGGCACTGTCGCCACTTTTGAGGGTTGCTGGTGGGTCCAGCGGAGTGAGGCACCGCGGGGACCTGAGCGAGACCTCGCCGTCCCCTGGGGGGCTGCGATCTGCGACACTGACGCCACTTTCGAGGGGTGCTGGTGGGTCCTGCGGAGTGAGGCACCGCGAGGACCAGAGCGAGACCTCGCCGTCTCTGGGGGGGCTGCGATCTGCGGCACCGTCGCCACTTTCGAGGGCTGCTGGTGGGTCCAGCGGAGCGAGGCACCGCGGGGACCTGAGCGAGACCTCGCAGTCCCTGGGGGGGCTGCGATCTGCAACACTGTCGCCACTTTCGAGGGTTGCTGGTGGGTTCGGCGGAGTGAGGCACCGCGGGGACCTGAGCGAGACCTCGCCGTTCCTTGGGGGGCTGCGATCTGCGGCACTGACGCCACTTTCGAGGGGTGCTGGTGGGTCCAGCGGAGTGAGGCACCGCGGGGACCTGAGCGAGACCTCGCCGTCCCTGGGGGGGCTGCGATCTGCGGCACTGTCGCCACTTTCGAGGGTTGCTGGTGGGTCCTGCGGAGTGAGGCACCGCGGGGACCTGAGCGAGACCTCGCAGTCCCTGGGGGGGCTGCGATCTGCGGCACTGTCGCCACTTTTGAGGGTTGCTGGTGGGTCCAGCGGAGTGAGGCACCGCGGGGACCTGAGCGAGACCGCGCCGTCTCTGGGGAGGGCTGCGATCTGCGGCACTGTCGCCACTTTCGAGGGGTGCTGGTGGGTCCAGCGGAGTGAGGCACCGCGGGGACCTGAGCGAGACCGCGCCGTCTCTGGGGGGGGCTGCGATCTGCGACATTGTCGTCACGTTCGAGGGCTGATGGTGGGTCCAGCGGAGTGAGGCACCGCGGGGACCTGAGCGAGACCTCGCCGTCCCTGAGAAGCTGCGATCTGCGACACTGCCGCCACTTTCGAGGGCTGCTGGTGGGTCCAGCGGAGTGGGGCACCGCGGGGACCTGAGCGAGACCTCGCCGTCCCTTGATGCCAGCGATCTGCGGCACTGACGCCACTTTCGAGGGGTGCTGGTGGGCCCAGCGGAGTGAGGCACCGCGGGGACCTGAGCGAGACCTCGCCGTCCCTTGATGCCTGCGATCTGCGACATTGTCGCCACTTTCGAGGGCTGATGGTGGGTCCAGCGGAGTGAGGCACCGCCGGGACCTGGGCGAGACCTCGCCGTCCCTTGGGGGGCTGCGATCCGCGGCACTGACGCCACTTTCGAGGGCTGCTGGTGGGTCCAGCGGAGAGAGGCACCGCGGGGACCTGAGCGAGACCGCGCCGTCCCTGGGGGGGCTGCGATCTGCGACACTGTCGCCACTTTCGAGGGTTGCTGTTGGGTTCGGCGGAGTGAGGCACCGCGGGGACCTGAGCGAGACCTCGCTGTCTTTGGGGGGCTAAGATCTGCGACACTGTCGCCACTTTCGAGGGGTGCTGGTGGGTCCAGCGGAGTGAGGCACCGTGGGGACCTGAGCGAGACCTCGCCGTCCTTGGGAGGCTGCAACCTGCGACATTGTGAACACTTTCGAGGAATGCTGTTGGGTCCAGCGGAGTGAGGCACCGCGGGGACCTGAGCGAGACCTCGCAGTCTCTGGGGGGGCTGCGATCTGCAACACTGTCGCCACTTTCGATGGTTGCTGGTGGGTCCTGCGGAGTGAGGCACCGCGGGGACCTGAGCGAGACCTCGCAGTCCCTGGGGGGCTGCGATCTGCGACATTGTCGCCACTTCCGAGGGGTGCTGGTGGGTCCAGCGGGGTGAGGCACCGCGGGGACCTGAGCGAGACCGCGCCGTCTCTGGGGAGGGCTGCGATCTGCGGCACTGTCGCCACTTTCGAGGGCTGCTGGTGGGTCCAGCGGGGTGAGGCACCGTGGGGACTTGAGCGAGACCTCGCCGTCTTTGGGGGGGGGTGCGATCTGCGGCACTGTCGCCGCTTTCGAGGGCTGCTGGTGGGTCCAGCGGAGTGAGGCACCGTGGGGACCTGAGCGAGACCCACCGTCCCTGGGGGGCTGCGATCTGCGACACTGTCGCCACTTTCGAGGGCTGATGGTGGGTCCAGCGGAGTGAGGCACCGCGAGGACCAGAGCGAGACCTCGCCGTCTCTGGGGGGGCTGCGATCTGCGGCACCGTCGCCACTTTCGAGGGCTGCTGGTGGGTCCAGCGGAGCGAGGCACCGCGGGGACCTGAGCGAGACCTCGCAGTCCCTGGGGGGGCTGCGATCTGCAACACTGTCGCCACTTTCGAGGGTTGCTGGTGGGTCCAGCGGAGTGAGGCACCGCGGGACCTGAGCGAGACCTCGCCGTCCCTGGGGGGCTGCGATCTGCGACACTGTCGCCACTTTCGAGGGCTGCTGGTGGGTCCAGCGGAGTGAGGCACCGCGGGGACCTGAGCGAGACCTCGCCGTCCTGGGGGGCTGCGATCTGCGACACTGTCGCCACTTTCGAGGGCTGCTGGTGGGTCCAGCGGAGTGAGGCACCGCGGGGACCTGAGCGAGACCTCGCCGTCCTTGGGGGGCTGCGATCTGCGACATTGTCGTCACTTTCGAGGACTGCTGTTGGGTCCAGCGGAGTGAGGCACCGCGGGGACCTGAGCGAGACCTCGCCGTCCTTGGGGGGCTGCAATCTGCGACATTGTCGTCACTTTCGAGGACTGCTGTTGGGTCCAGCGGAGTGAGGCACCGCGGGGACCTGAGCGAGACCGCGCCGTCTCTTGGGAGGGCTGCGATCTGCGGCACTGTCGCCACTTTCGAGGGCTGCTGGTGGGTCCAGCGGAGTGAGGCACCGCGGAGACATGAGCGAGACCTCACCGTCCCTGGGGGGGCTGCGATCTGTGGCACTGTCGCCGCTTTCGAGGGCTGCTGGTGGGTCCAGCGGAGGGAGGCACCGTGGGGACTTGAGCGAGACCTCGCCGTCCCTGGGGGGCTCTGGAGAGCTGCTGCGGGATACGTTAGGCGCAACGGGTGCATGGCACAGCCAACGGGGGTAATTTTTGAAACAGACCATCTGCCGGGCGATGGCCATATCGTTGCGCCTACACGTACCTCGCGGGGGCTCTCAAGAGCTGCTGTGGGATACGTTGGGTGCAACGGGCGCATGGCACAGCCACCGGGGGTGATTTGTTATTACGTAGCCCTTATATCTTGATCGGGGGCCTGCGAGCCTTCCGATTGCTGCTCGCAAAATCACATGCGTCCATGTTACGTCATCGGCCCCGTTGTAGCAATCCTGATGTACTTACGCACCGCTCTTCGCCAGGGTAATTCTATTCTCTATTCACGCGTCGCGCGTCCAACAGGGAACTCAAAAAGTGCGGCCCCAGCTTGCGGTCCCTACCCCCTCCCCGCGTAATCGGGGAGCCGGCCGCATTTCTCGCACAGACCTTCCAGCCCCTTCGGAGAACACAGCGGGCGCGCCCGCTTTCCCGCTTGCGCTTGCGCCGCCCAGTTCGTCACACCCCTCGCGCCGCGCGCCTGCACAGGCAGCCCAAACTCCAGCCCCAGTGGATGTGTTTGTGTGCGTTCTGTGTATATATATATATATATATATATCTGTATAGATAGATTGTTTTGCCGATCGGCCTCGGCCCTCGCCCCCCCCCCACCCACGGAGTAGATCTTGACCATTTTTGGGCGCCTGTTTCGAGCATGTGGGGTCCCTCCCAGAGGCAGCACTCTTGCAAACAGTCGCACTAAGCAGAGGTCTGGAGCCAGACCCCCCCTCCCCCCCCCTTTCCGCCTAATGTCGAAACGCCGAATAAAATAAACGCTCACTTTGGACGCAGTGCCCCCGGCGCTTCGTGATTCGTTGGGGGCCGCATTGCGGGGCCCCAGCGGGGGTGTT